TATTTGATTCTAATATGAAAAAAAAAATCTCCAAATGAAAATAGAGTAATTCGCAAAGATGAGTAATTCGCAAAGATGGTCCCATTAAGGAGGCATATAGTCTTAATGAGTATTTAGACATAACAAATTATAAAGCATCAAAAGAGGTTCAAGTACTTGAAACAATGAAACTTGAGATATCCCAATAAGTTATGCTATTATGGGAAAAGGTCTAGAATCAAAAAGAAAAAATTGTCAACAACATTTTTACATGTGGTGTACTGCATCATATTACGAATAGTGAGGATATTGAAATAAACTTGCTGTAGATCAAAGTAATGATTGGTCAAATAAAAGGGGTCACAATCCTAATAGAATTGACTAGAGAAACCTAAAATTTTTGAATCTACAGTCTGAACATCTAAAGGTGAATACTTATCGTCATGAAAATGGAAAAAGTAAAATCCCAATATCAAATTTACGACTCTTTCCATAATAAATGTCACGAAGACTTGTATAAATAAATAAGTTATCATTTGGTGGATGTAATCCCATGTGTCTACCTTGTTAGAGTGATAATGCATGAATTTGATATATAATAAATATGATTATAGTCAACTAATCTTACATATAAATTTAATATTATTTTTGAAGGATTTAATATGTTTGAAGATAATTTAAGTGATATTATCATGAAAGAGAGTAAATATGCGTTATACTCTTTTTTTCTTGACCAAGATTTTGTCCCATTGAACTTTTTTGGCAAGGTTTTTAATGAGGCAAGTTTTATAGCATACTCAAAAGAATAATGTATTATTTTTCATTCATTAAAATTTTTTCCATAAGGTTTTTCCAAATAAGGTTTAATGGAATATATTCTTCATGTAATGAATTTCTACAGCATGCAAGACATTTATATTAAAAATAATACCGTATATGTATGAGACTCTTGAAAAGATTAACAAGAACTATTTCTGAATTTACTACAATTATTAAAGATTGATAAATATCTCTTATGAAGACGGTGCTATTTGAAGACTATGCAAGACAATATTAGACATACTGTTGACCTATGGTTGATTATAACCTTCAAGTTTTGATTATAACAAGCAAGTTAATCTCGTTTACTAACAAGTTGAATTCAAGTGATTATAGTTTTTCAAAGCATACGATGGAAATTTGATCAATGATTGTCAAAAGATCAAAAGCTATCATCACAAATTGGACTCATGAAAGAGGTCAAGATCGAAGTCACACATTCAATAACTTAAGAGTCAAAACTTTGAAGCAAGACCTAAGATTTGGTTTCTTAGATAAAATAAAAGGTACTAACATTTGATATTTGGCAATAAATACTTAAACTCAAAATCCTTCTATGCAATAAAAATAATTTTTATGCATTACAAGTCATTCTAATACAACGGTTTGATCAAATATAAAAATAACTTTTAAAATGATATTTGAACTTAAAAAAATCTTTTATATTTAAAAGTTAATTAAAAATACTTTTCAAAAGTTCATGCCTTTCAAAACCTTCAAATCAAATCAAATCAAATAGGGCTAGAACGTAATAGGCGATTGACCGAAAGTTTTCCAATGGTCCAAAATTTGACCATTTTGATCTTTGATTTTATTGAACAAATGGCTATATTGGTCATCCGAATAAAAGGTGGTTGACCAGACAAGTCATCCGGACTTATAGATTTCTTGGTGTTTTAAACTCTATACATATCCTCACTCTTTTCATTCTTCATAAGACTTTCAAGAGCATCAAAACGAGATTTTTTTTTGAGAAAATTCTTTGAGCTTTCCTTTGCATTCAATTCATTTATTTTTTTGTATTAAAAACTTTGATTGGATTCAAACTCTTTAATAGTCATTATCATCATCAAAGTTTTTCATCTCTACTTTTGCATTTAACTTACTTTTATTTATAAAAGAGAGATATATTTCAAAGAAGATCATTAAACTTATATTGCATATATTTCTTCTACTTCTTCATATTGAAAACTTTTGATTGATTGAGTCAAACTTGTAAGCTCATCATATTCATCAAAGTTTCTCATTTCTTTCTTAGTGCTTATTTGTACATTGCATTTATTGCTTATTTGTACATTGCATTTATTTCTTTTTCATTTTCTCATTTGAAAAATTTCGATTGATTGAATCAAATCTTTAATTATCATATTCATAAAAAATTTTCATCTAGCACTTGAGCTATCATTTGTTGCTATTTATTGAAGTGTTAATCACTTTTAGTATTTAATTCATTTGTACCATTTCTTAAGAGAGAAATTTCATTGTAAATCATTGCTCTAAACTTGAAGATTGTATTGAGGTCTCGTAAAAGCTCAATAGTAGAAAGATTGATGCTCCTTGATGTAAAGTCACAATATGGGTCATATTGAAATCCCATAAAGCTCAATATTCTATAACAATTAGTTCTCCTTATTTATAAGTCACCAAAAATATTGTAAGGGGTTGGATTGTACCATAAATCAATTAATATAGTGAAATGACCATGCTCGTGCCAGAGAGCTTGGTAACTGAAGCGTATATCATTGCTTTGGATCAAACCTCCACAAGTATATCATTTGCATCATCTCTACCCTTTTAATTATCGTTATCTTATTTATATTTTTTTTATTGATCTACTTGCTTTTATTTGTTTATGATTATTAATTGATCAACAAATTCTTTTTTGCTTGATTTAAGTTTATTTTTGAAAAAGTTTTAAAAATCAATTCACTCCCTCTTGATTAGATTTTCTTGGGCTTTCACATACTTAGCCAGAAATTGTAATATTGAAGGCATGGATGTATGAGACATGGATAGCTTGATATAAGAATTGAAATCAGAAGGAGTAGATGTACCCTTTTTCCTTCAATCAAGTTTTGTCCCGCTAAATTTTCTTGATAAGGTTTTAACGAAACAACATTTTATTACTTCAAATTATTTGTACATTTTTTATCTGTTAGCATTTTTGCCCCCATCGGGTTTTTGCCAAACAATGTTCCAATGAGATGGTTATTGTAGAATTATCGTCAAGGGGGGTGCTGTAAAATAATGAGATAATTATTTAGTATTATCATGATACAAAGATAAGTCGTATCTAGTCTAGAAGATTTATTTTATTTCAATTGTAACTCTTATTTTGGACCCTATAAATGTAGCATATTGGTTCTTAATAACGCACACAAATGTATTAACTCATATGATCTGTCCTCTTTTTCCCTCTGTTCACAACAAATTTTGCATATTAACGTGTTCAACTATAACTACACCACAACATCAGGGGCGAACATGGGAAGAGACAGCACCGGGATGTGGCTCAGTACTACCCAAACGCATTTTAAAAACAAAATTAGTCACTTAGTACCCTCCATCACTTAGCGTGCCCTAGCCCAATTTCGAAATAACATTTTTTTTCCGAAATTTATAGCCAACTCAAATTATGATGCACTTGATCCAGTCACCCATGATTCATTCGTCATTATTCATTCCTTTTTCCCATATCTCGACTTGTAGCAGGGACAAATCGAAAATTTCAAATTCGTTGAATCCTACAATCTTAATTTTTATATTTTTTTTGATTTTCTATAATTCATCAAATAAATTATTCCTGTGGATCGTAAATGCGTTTCTTCTAAACATATATAGCGGAAAAGATATAAATCATACATGTGTAAAAGAAACTAAAATATCCACTGCAATTAAATTAGTCTTTGATAAAATGTCTCACTAAAGATAAAAATTGATTGTTTTATAGCTTTACACTTTGAGGGCAACAACAGGTTAAAATTTACTACATGTTCATTATAATTTTTTGTTGGAAAAATGAGTTGAGTAGCTGACTTTAGCATAAAAATTGAGTGGGACCCGATTGTTTATTTTGGAAGATCAAGATTGATTTGTGTTCTCTTCCATGAGAACATTGTAATCATATATGATGTTCGGGTGAATGAGAAATTGGAGCTTAAAGTCTGCCAGTTGAAAGAAATTTATGTATTGGAGGGAAACCAATTAAGTCTTAATACTTGCAGTGAGAGGGCGAATTTGTTTTAAAAAAACTGTGTTCACATAGGCCTCGGTTTTAAATTTCATTTTTTGATTACTTGCTTTGTTGTAACGTAGATAAACTTGTTCTGCTTTATTATAATTAACAAAATTATTTAATTTACGGTATTTTGGCTAATATTCAATAAGCTATTGTAAATTCTGTATTTATGTTCGATGCATATCCAGTAAGTGCAAATCCGATATGTCTGTTTGTTGCATATCCGGTATGTGCAAATCCGTTATTTTTGTTAGTCGTAAATTCTGTGTCCATCCGGTATTTGTTACAGTCACCAAACTTTTTTTCCTAACAATTTTTTAAAAGAGTTGATCGCTCTAATGAGCAGAACGTATAGATTGATGCAAAATATGTTCTAACCACCTAAATCATCTTCAATCTAGAAAGTTTCTTTGTTCAATTAAAAAAAGTACATGAAGCTAAAGGTAATTTCAGCCATCTCAAATTAATTATCTGCAACAATGTTGATGGAAAGTACATAAAGTCTGAAGAGTTATGCAATGAATTCTGAAGAGTTATGCACGAGTGGGCAGGAAGATACGAACTATAGAAACGATTAGTCACTCTTTTTTCCAAGGAAAATGATAGAGAATAATTACTTTTGACAACTGGTTATATGAAAAGAAACATAATTTTCTAACTAATTGTAACTAGAACTTATATGTAGGTCCTATTTTCTGCAACAATTTCTTGTTGATTGCAAGTAAATCATTCTCGACATGGGATTATCAAACAAAAATGGGGATTGAACATTGGGCGTGGTCACATTTTTCATGATATCAATATAACATGATGACGTCAAATAACGTGGAGTCTATCAATGCACCGTTCAAGAAAGATCGAAGAGTTATCAATTTTCTCAATGATCGAGAACATTTGTAGCAAACTGCAGCAGTGATTTCATGATCGACGTGCGAAATCACAGAGTTGCACGAGCGTGCTAACCATGGCTCAAGAGGTTAAACTCTTCAAGGCTACAGAGGTTGCAGCTAAGTTGAATGTGGAACCATTGGATGCATTGCGCTTCTCCGTGAAATGTGCATGTAATACAGCATACATGGTGAACTTGACTGATAACAGATGCACTTACAATCGATTTCAATTAGAATGTTTTCCGTGTGAACATGTAGTCGCATTGGTTATATATCGAGACTTTGAAGCGAGAACATTATTCTCCCCTTATTACACGGCCGATTCTTGGATAGCAGCGTACGCTAAAACTATATTTCCTCTACCGAATGAAGTCGAGTGGAAAGTTCCTGACTATATTCTCCCACTTAATACATTGTTGCCACCAGAAGTTGAACCGTGTGATTTTGGACGTCCACACAAGTCTAGAATACTATCTATCAAAAAGTTTCCTCGATACGGTAGGTGCAGAGCAATAGGGAATATTCATTAGTTCTGTACAAGTCAGATTCTCCTAAATGGCTTAGATTGGTATGTAATGATATTGATGTTAAATAAACAGTATTTACATCTATTCTTAATTAAATAATCAATTATTTCAAAATTTAAAAAAAAAAAAAAAAAAAGTCAATGTATAAAATTTACATAAATTTGACAATATTTACAATTATCTCATAATAAAAAAAGATTCAATGTATAATGTTTACATAAATTTGACAATATTTATAATTATCTCATAATTACAAAAAAAAAAATCAATGTAAAATATTTACATAAATTTGACAACATTTATAATTATCTCATAATTACCAAAAAAAAAAAAAAAGTCAATGTCTAATATTTACATAAATTTGACAACATTTAAAATTATCTCATAATTACCAAAAAAAAAAGTTAATGTATAATATTTACATAAATTTAACAATATTTACAATTATCTCATAATTATGAAAAAGAATTCAATGTATAATATTTATATAAATTTGACAATATTTAGAATTATCTCAAAATTATCAAAAAATTTAATATATAATATTTATATAAATTTGACAATATTTACAATTATATCATAATTACGGAAAAGAATTTAATATACAATATTTATGGATCAAAATCAAATTCGTATAAATCGTATACTAACTTATTTCTTCAATTCTGTATCCACGATTGATTCATTTCATCAACCTTATGTACTATAACTATACTAAAAAATTCAATGTACTTTAAAACAAACATGTTGTAGTCACCCTTACAATTGAATAATAATGTGTGAGTTCGGTACTGTATAGCTAAAAACTAATTTGTAAACGATAAAAAAAATTACAAACACTTACGATATGGACTATCTCGCTATCGTTGTGTCCTGCAAGATAATTAGTTTATCGTGCATAGACATCCCCCTTGTCTAGCAATCAGAGGAACGATCACAACTATTGGCTCCAACTTTGCTCGGGATGCTCACCAATGATGTATCCAAGGATAACATGCCTCCCCTCGCTTTGCAAAGCGAGAAATCAATAGGGGGACAGTCTCATATGCCCAAATCTGCAATATATACAATTATTATATATAAATTCAATATAAAAATAATTTAACATTAATTATGTTAAATATTTACCTGCATTGTCAGGGACAATCTATAGGTATCGTACTTACACACGGACACCTTGGGCTTCAAGTGCGATCTGGTGAAGACGTATACAATGTCCTCAAAACATCTCTGACCCCACGAATAGTTATTGAAGGCATCGATGTCGTCGACGATCTATAGATGGAAGAGATCGATCATAGTTTTCTTGTGATGATACTACACCACGCTCTCAAGAATATAGACCAGTTCGAGCTTCAGTCTGTCTAACATCTGATTGCACGCCCTAATTGCGCCACTGAGCTGCGGCAGAAGCACCATCTCCTATCTCTGTAAATAAGAGTCGTGCAACTTGCTACTTCTCTGAGTACCGTTATGAGCTGCTTCATGATCCGTAATCTTTAGTCTGGTCATCAGGGCAAAGTCGAACAAGGAGAATGTAGCGACCTTGCCCCAGAGATCAAAATGAAGGGCACCGCTATCAACTGACATGAGCACTTGACAAAATAGTGCATCGTTGATTTACCGGATTACTTGACCTCCCTCAACTAATATACGGGCTAGAGGAAATACTAACGTAGCATATTCACATGCTGGTCATCTAGCAACTCCAGTAATATAGTAAAACTGTCAAAATTACTGTTCCAATTAACTTTTCCCAGCATCATTCTCAATTCCTCATCTAAATGGTATTCCATTCTTCAAATTTTCAAATATTAAAACATTGAACAAGAGATAATAGAATTAATTATATTCTCAGAAAATTAAACGAATCGAATTGTAAAATATAAATATTATACACAAGACATATATTCATTTTACACCGATATAAATAAAAAACTAAATGAATCACATAAAAAATAAAACAAAAAAGTTTTTATAAAGTTTTTTAAATTAAAATTGAATTAATTAAAATTAAAATTAAATATTGTTTAATTAAAATTTAAAAAAAATTACTTTTCATAATATAGGAAAATAATTAAATGGAACACAAATTTATATTTATAATTTGAAGAAAGAAATAAATTTTAAAACAATTTTGAAAAAAAAAATAGAATAAAAAAAAAGGAAAAAAAAAGAGAAACAAATAAAAAAAAAGAAACGGAAAAAAGAAAAAAAATGGAAACGAAAAAAGAAAAAGAAAAAAGGAAAAGAATTAAATTGAACAAAAAATTATATTTATAGTTTTAAAAAATAAAAATAATTTTCAAAAGAAAGATATAATATAATAAGAATGAAACAAAACAAGTTAAAAACAAAAGGGAAAAAAAGAAAAAGAAAGAAAAGGAAAAAGGAAAGGCAAGGAAGGGGAAGAAAAAGAAAAAAAAAATATGGAAACGAAAAAAAAAAGAATTAAATCAAACCAAAAATTATATTTATAGTTTGAAGAAAAAGATAAATTTTAAAACAATTTCAAAAAATATATATAATAAAAACAAAACAAAACAAAACAAAACAAAAAGAAGAAGAAGAAGAAGAAGTTAACAATCGATAGTGTGGCAAGGGGGGAAACCCCAAACAGTGTGGGGGACGGGAACGATTGTTTATGTCTCGATCCCCCACTTCATTGTCATTCCTATATATATTCGAGGTATCGATTCCTTAATTTATTTCATGAATCTCACAACCTTTTAATTATACATTTCATCAACTTTTATCAAAATCTATTAAAATTTTGATTTTAATCCCTATCAAACGGGAGCTTAGCAGGCACGATCATGATCTCAATGAATTTTTAAATTGACAGTTAAATCTGAGTTCAGTAATTAGATATTGACCATTGAATTAATATTTTAATGTGACCACGTTGGATTGACATATAGAAAATGGAATGTGAAGATCTATTTATTTGGAAAATGACACTTTGATTATTTTACCTTGTTTCGAATATTAACCTGATTTATGGGAATATTACGTTAAAACAATAAGTTGGATGATATAATTATTGTTTATATATAGTTTTTAGTAATTTCAATTATACTAAGAGTGCAATTACATTCTTTTAGTGGAATAAAATGGGATTAATAAATTATTTCGACCGATCAAAGGTTGACCAGGTCAAGATTAATTTGTTGAGATTAGTTTAATTATTACCTATTAGTTCCTTACGATGATTTTAAAAAAAGAATTGAAATAAATTATAATAGTTTGGTTTATAAACTAATTCTAGGAGTATTAAATAATTAAATCGGGGCATGTCACGCCGATACCACCTTCGTGTCATTAATATTTGCCAGACTTTGATTTGAATCAAAAGCGGAAGAATTTTTGTAAAACACGCTACAATGATAATTCCTAAACACCTATTTATTTATCAATTTCAAAAATTGTAAAATTCTTGTTGATAGTCCTAAAAGTTAAGGTCAACGGGTGGTTAGCAAAATTTTTGAGGGTACTGATATACTATAAAAAATTCACTTTTAACATTTTTTTTTTGGTTAATATTTGTTGTAAAAATATGTTTTTTGATTTTTTCATCGAGAAACTTTCCAAGACGAAATATTTCGTCTATAAAATTATTATTATTATTATTATTATTATTATTATTATTATTATTATTATTATTATTACTACTACTACTACTACTACTACTACTACTACTTTCGTAGTGTGGGCAACCTCTTGACCAAATCCTACATGTAGAGATTAAAAGTGCCTGTGGAGCGAATTCTTTGAGGTAGTTAATGTTGCGAATTCTTTGAGGTAGTTAATGTTCTATTTGAACAAGTACATTAATAGTTGTGCTAAATAAGTATTTACACTAATTAATTAAACTTGAGATAAGTAATATCAGAAAATCTAATGGCGAGTTAAAAGACTACCGAAATTTCAATTATTTTTTTCCTCAAGCTTTCCCAATAATTACTTAACACGAATTCAGATATATACAAAGATTTAAACTAATTACTGTCAAGTGTCCAAAGGCTAAACTTTGCAATTTTCAGTGTTAGTACCAAAGTGTCCGTTTTAAACAATTTAATTGAAGGTTTGCAAATAAATTTTAGTTGTAAATTAGGCGTTAAGCATTGAAAAAATAAAGATAAAATGAAGAACAAGTTTTACGTCATCTTGATTCTTGACTCGATTGTTACAGCATATACACACAATCGTTGGGAAACAAGAAAAGAAAGTATTAAAATAATCATACATATGGTATGTGAAGTAAATGAGCGAATGAACAATTCCCTAATTTGTTTCCAATTTTGAGACGTGTATCAAGGAAAAGAATTAACTTCCAGATGATGAATAATTGTTTTTCATAGTATTAGTTTTCTATTCTTAATACCTCTAGTTGGAGTAGAAATGGCAAAAATACCTGTTAAACCCAATACTCATTGGGTGTGGGGAATAATCAGGTCATATATGGGGCGGGGAATTCCATGTAGAGGCGGGTATGGGGCGGGTACGAGTGACAGGAGCCCTGCCCATTTTATTTTATTTTTGAAAATTCAATACTTTAAACCCTTGCTTGATTTCTATTCTTTTTAAAATATATTTTTCTCTTTATTCTTTTCAATCACACATTTTTTAATAAACTAATATTGCACGTAAATTCAAAAAAATTTCTTATTTTTTAATTACACAAATTCTCCATCAATTTTCTATTCTAAAATGTATTATTAATAAATAATGGGGGTTCAAACAGCCCTAAATAAAAAAACTCTACGAAATTTCATTAATTGTAATTGAACATGTCAACTAAGATTATCTAAAAAATATGATAAACAATAAAAATCTTAGTTTACCAAACATATTCGAATAAATTAACTTTTAAAAATAAATAAATAAATTAGAAAATGTAATAACTATATTTTTGTTTCATTTGAATAAATGGGGATATTAAAATGAAATATCAAAAATTATATTAGAAAAAATTAAACGCCCTGCCCCAACCCACCTGCCTT